GACCCCCCCACTCATATTGGAATGGTGATTGTTTATATATACTGTTTTAAGAGTTTGCCAGTGCAGTGGACGTGAAGATCGGCGGCACTTCTTGATTGTATGAAATCTTGAAGGAACAAATCTCTGTACCCCAAGTATTCTCACTCATGCCCAGGAGCAAGAGCTGTTGCTCCACGCTACCCGCAGACATACATTCCTCCTCCGCTCACATGATCATTGCTTGACAGTACAGACTCTAGACCTTGGCAACAGTCCGAGCAAAAGACAGTGTGGCATCCGCAGATGCGAGCAGAAATGTGGCTGAGAAGCTGTTTGGAGGCTCAAACTACCTTCTCATGGGGTTTGTGGAAGGGCGGACGAATCTGCAGGTTGATGCATCCATTCTGTGTTTATGAGTTTATGTTGGACTTTGTTTGACCACAGTTGCCCAGCTGGCATCAAGGCAGGAGTGGAAACATGACTTAGCTGGGTTTTGGGGAGTGTTTTTGCAACCTATAATACCAGGACCATCGAATGGGTGTCCGATGGACTACCCTACTTGATCCAAGGCCAGAGGCGACAGAGGTGCGTGTGTTTGTATTGTCGCTGTATTTCATGCTGTGGAAACACGCGTGGTGTGGCACATGGAATCACACATACGACATGGCAAAGGCGGACCTTCATAGCAAGGGCGCTGGACCTGCAAAGCCTCACAGCGAGGGAGCGTAGCAGTTTGGAGTCGTCCGCCTTCACGAGTTGGGGTTCTTCGCGACCCGACGTGACCCGTGTCGCCGTGTCGCTCACGTTGGATTTCCAACCGCCTGTTTTGTAGAGCTGAAGTGATCTTCCTGGGATCGATTCTTCCACTTCCTCCGATGGAGCCTCGTCCTTTCGTGATTCCGCGCGAATACGAGCGACCTGTTGGTTTCGCCCTTTCCAGACCCCTTCGATGAGGTGCCATCTATCTTTGGAAGATTTGCACCCGGCGAAGTTGCTCATGCAAGCTTTGCTCCCTGGCGGACCGGTTCTTTGGGATCGGTCTGTGGTTCGGGGAGGGGAATCCACCAGTCCCCTTCCTCCAAGCAAAGGTAGGGTTAACGGTTAGGGCCCAGAAAAGCAGTTCACGTTTTTTTGAGAAAGGCCGAATCATCATCCACTGTCACTGGTAGTGGGGTATACGGTATACCCAAAGGGTCCACAGAGTCAAAACGATGCACTAGGCCTGGCCATCCCAGCCCAGCCGAACAGGGCATTCCCGGTGTTCATGTTGACACTCTTGACCAGCACGGAGAGATCAGGACAGTGTGAGACTGTGGGACAGCAGAAACAAGCACACAAAAAGCGGGATCCTGCTGCAAACTGACCAGAAGTTCGGCAGAACACCGGCGCTATGCATGAACAGCTTCGCTTCAGAGAAGAAAACCATCACATCCCCCCGTTTGCATGCGTTTTCCATCATCAAACCCTATAGCTCCAACCATATCCTCAGGTTCGGTGCTTAGACCTCCCACCCTTCTCCTTCTCAGGAGGTCGGCCGGAACCCGCTGGCCCCGCCCAGCCGTTCCGGAGCCAAGCCGCCCTTTTCGAGGTCGCAATGGCTACCGCTCCCTGGACCTTCTGGGCTCCGGCGGCTATGGCCACTCGGGTCGCACGACCGGGTCGTCTCGGGTCGTTGGACGGCATCATATGGCAGTCCCTCCTGCTTGGGAGTACTCGTTGCCTTGCATCAGGTGACCCCCCAAAGACCCCAAATCCATAGTAATTGGGTTCATTGAGTTGATCCACTGTATATAGGGCATGTAAATGAGTAGACAGTAGACTTGGCAGAAGGCAAAGGCTTTGACAAGCCCGGGTGGTTTTGCTGATCGCTGACTTCACAACCACCCTGGAAACACAGCATGTCACGCTGATCTTCCTAAAATAGCTCGGGCTCCAGTTCTGCAAGCACTCAAAAGAGCTTCGGTCTGCTCGATTGCCCTGTAGCAGTGCTAACCAGATCCTGATATTATAACTATACTTTTATTTCCACTGGTAGACAGCGGTAGACATATTGTAAGCCCAGAATTGGAGTGACCTAATTCTATGGGCTATCAACCATGTCAGACGGCTATCAACCATGTCAGACGAGAGTCTTCTCTCGGTCCATCAGCTGGACCGGTCGGTTAGTCGGTCGGATGTTCTGAGGCTCGGTGTATTTGGTCGAGCGCTTGCCGGAGCTTCACCGCTTCGTCTCCAAGAAGCCGCTCGGCGACCCCAAGCACCGGGGGCCCGCACGCGCCGGCGTGGTGTTGCTGCACTTGCTGCAGGTGCTGCAGGTGCGTATTTTTGGGGGGTGAAGAGGCAATGGGAGCGGACTGTGGAAACCGGCCCTGATGATTGTAAAACAGGAATTTGTTGCAGCGGCTACAGACAGCGAGTCTACGGCAAGCGCAAGAGGAAGAGGAAGAGGGTGAAGAGGTCTGCGAGGCTTCCGCCGCTGGGGTCTCAAAGATATATGATATACTGATATACTTAGTATCTGTTTTTATTAAGGGCCGCATCACCTGACCACAAACATGACTGGAATACACAGGATGAACATCAGAACAGGAAGACTTGGGATGGTTTAGGACGAACAGGATCAGTGTTTAGTTTATAGGTCAAGGTCACAAGGTCAGCCTGGAGACTTCAGGATTCCCGTGCGGGAGATCACCGAAGTGGATGAGTATAGCCGTGAGGCCAAGGACTCTTTCCGCGTGAGGAAACCCTCGGTGCCGTCTCGATGTCTTGGGTATACTGACTCGGCTGTTGGGCTTTACAGAAGCGAAGAGCTTCCAGGTGTGTGGACATTGCAATGACTCATGTCATTATTGCAATGAATCCGCGGAGCTCAAGTGCTGACATGGGACTGCCATATTTAACTACATTGTACTACATTGGGGTGGTTTGGAGGTTCAATGTAGGCATATATGGTATACATGGAGTGCTTGGGATTATATATGACATTATATGACGCCAGACATTCACCCCGGTTAACCACCCCAACTTCGGATCCTTGCCGGTCCGCGGGTGACGGGCCGAGTGCTTGCACCGGTTTATGACGGGCCGAGTTCGGAATGGCCAATGCGATGGTTTCACGATGAGCACCAAGTCACTCAGGGACAGGCTAAGGGTTTGGAACCCATTGCCATCCGATGAATCATGATGAATCCAGATCCTGAAAAGCTGCCTCAGGATGAAGGGTGCCATGTCTCCCAAGGAATGCACTGACCTGGATCTTCCAATTTCAGCTACCCAAAAAAACAGCCCATTGATGCAACTTGATCGTCCTGCCTAACTCGAAACTCGACCAAAACCCCTCCAGGAGTTGATCATGCTCCGCCATCGTCACATCGTCTCCTATGAGGAGGGGGATGGTCAACCAGGTGCGACTAAAACCGCATGGTTAGCACCTGGTGAGATTCGTTGAACATGGTTTAAAGGTGTTTCCCACCCACCGGAACACGTTTCTGCTAGGTCTAGGTGTTGCTCTTGTTTTGATCCACACTACACATCGCATGACGGAGAAGCGATCGGGTCCTCCGAAAGTGGAGGAAAGGGGATCGAAGGAATCGAAGGCTGACCTGAACTTGACACTTTTTTGGTGGGTTGAACATCTACTTCGTTTGTCACGCAGCTCGCAGGTTCGTTCGCAGAAAACCAGTCTTGCAGTTCACCTTGCAGCTGTCTTGCAGCCTTCTTCGCCAAGAAAGGAGACCATGCCAGCTTCGCTCCTTAGAAGGCTCCTTTTAAAGGTCCTTTTGAGCGAAGGAATCATTGTCCCTTGATCCCTCCACCCCAATGAAAGTCCCCACCTTTGCCGTGGGGGTCGCGGGTCTTGGAGGGTCTTGGAGGACGGAAGGCACCCAACATTCGATATTGGAGTACTGGAGGTCGGAGAGGGTGGTCTCTCCGAACAGGTCATGTTCTTCCGGTATTGCAGGAGGACTTTGTGCATGTGGAGTACGGGGGGCTGGAGACCAAGACGTGCTCTTGGGGGTTGCGAGAACAACGCGCGCGTACCAGGGACGTACTGTACCAGGCACTGGTTCAAGGGGCCGGTCCCTGTGGCTGGAAGTGTTCCAATGTCTTGCGAAGAGCCCCTTCACACTGAAGACTCATCTGCACGTTTGGCCTAAGAGCCCCTTCAGTCAATTGGGATGTCCTTTGATATCTCAGCACACAAGAGTTGATGCTAGTTGCTGAATGTTGCTGATGTGCTTTGAAGTCCAAGAGGCTCATGTCAGTTCCCAAAGATTCACATGGAAAAAAGGATGAACAAGGACATTCACATCCACCTTTCTGGCGGGTATTCCGTTCTATTCTCAATTCATCCATAGCATCCAACATCCAACACCTTCGAGTTTCTCGAACGTGTCGAACCCGATCCTTCGTGGCCATTCGTGGCCTTCCTTCGACGCCTCGTCTCGTCTCGGGTCTCGATCTGCTGGGGCTCGAAGCTACGAACATCTCGGGACGGCACCAACGGTGGCGAAGCAGCCCATGTCGTTGCCCGGAACACCCAGACTGAAAGCTGGAGTTGGGGAGGATCGGGGAGGGGTGGAGGATGATGGAGGATTTGGGGCGAGACCAGTTTGAGAAGTGGATTGATTTGGATTGTGCTCATATCAAAAGGTTGAGTGTCTAGTACTGGATGTGCCAAACACCAACATCGCCCTCAGTACTTCGCCAAAGTGATATCTTACACCCTTCAAGTCAAAAGGGACAGCTTTTCATCAACGTCCAGTCGATCCTTTGTTGTCTCAGGGCAAATCTCATGTATGGCCTCAGACCGTTTTTTTGGATGCTGCATGTTGTTTTCTTAGTTGATAAATCAAACTCCGGCGGTCTTCTTTGGATTCAGCATGTGGCTTTCTCATGTTTTCTAACGTTGTTCTTCTTTCGTGTTTGATACATAAGTCTCACCGGAGTTTGGCGCCTGGGTTCCTCGTCCGTCGCTCACCGAGGCCCACCCCCGAAGGCTTCAAGACCGAGGCGGGCGAATGGAGCGACGAGGCCAAGGCGGGGAGAGTACGACATGGTGGAGACGAGACGCAAAACCCGAACGGAGCCCGTGAGAGATGTGGTTCAAAAGAGATGGATAAGCATAGAGATGGCTTGTGTGTTCTTTTTGTTTCAGAGTTTCTGCCTTGGGTTGGATATTTAATGATATTTATAATATAATAGTGGGCAAGTGGTGGGTATATTGCATGTAGGTGATAGTATGGTGATAGTTAGTCTTTGACGCAACTTGTTCCTGGATCGTATTCAGTGTTCAGATATATCACTTACCTGTACCGTCTTCATGCCACATTGTTGTATACGTTTCACTGCAGCCGTCTATATCGCAGGCTTGTTCAAACCTGACAAACCTCGATTCAATTAAAAGATCATCCTGCTGAATTTCAACCGTCCTGGGTACAGGGATCTCAGCATCACAAACGTTTATAGAGCGAAGTTCATAGAGCGTTCATAGAGCGAAGTGTAAATGACGGCTACAGGGTCTTTTTCTGGGTGTCTTCGTTGGCCGGCCCTTGTCTTGGTAGGCAAGTGTTGTAGGGTCTAGTAGAATCAGTTCATCGGCCGTCAGCAATCGCTGTTTGCGTTCAGGTTAAACTTAACTTTTCAACGTGGAGTGCAAATTATCGCTCTGGGGCGGTACCAGGTGGTAGTTCATGATCCAGTTATACAATCGTGAACAAAAAATATGTTGTAGAACCCGTGAACTAGTCATAGAGTCATCGCTGTGTACAAAAAGGCTAAGCCTGCACTCGTGGATGTTTTATAATGCTGTTGCCTTCGAACATATATTCATCACAAGAGACCGTGGGTCAACCCAATTGAAGTTTTGTTTTGGATCCCATCCAGGGATTCAGAAGTGGTTTCTGTCAGAGGCACAAAACTACGCAGTTATTCCAAAGTGGGGCCGAAGCCAACAAAAAGTCAGCCAGGACCTTCAAGGTGACCCTTTTCATCCCTGGGCTTGACTCCAAACAGGTCCCTTCGAAGGTCCTGGAGCGTGATTTTCTGGGTTGATTCCGCCCTGGCTAACGGTCGGTTCGTGCCAGAAGCTATGGGTCTCCGCGCCCAAACGGTTTTATCGTCGCAAGGTTTGGAGTGTTTGGGCCCCTTTGTTTGGGCAGCCTAAGCCTAAGCAATTTTCTTCGTTGGCAGAGGATCTAGCCCCCTTTTTCTCTCCATGTGTTTGTTATGTTTTGCAGGTGGGTTGAATGAAACCATGTTGTGCAACGGTTTTGTTGTTGTTGTTGTTGTTGCTGTTGTTGTGATGTCCCCTTTGGTGGACACGACTTGCCGAGTGTTAGTGCCGTTCCTCGCTTGGGAGGGAAGTCCTGCTCACGCGGCCACTTCTTGGGTCATTCTCACCACTCACCAGACACAAGAACTCAAGGGGATGAAGTCTTCAAGACGGGTTTATATCTACTGAGTCCTCAAAGTCCATGTCTCCACTTTTGCTGCGCATCCCGACTCGGTTCCAACAGCCAAGCAGGATTGAGCCCTGTGTCTGGAGGATCGAGTCCAAGTGCTCAGGCTCCCCTCATGGAGTTTTTGTTGCCATGACTATCCATGACTCATTTTTGGAGTCATATGCCTGAGGGCCATCGATGATCAGGCCATCGAACCCACGCAGAAGGTCAGATCCGAGAAAGCAGGAGTGGCTGATGCTCACAACCCGCAGGATGAATCACGAAACCGTACCTAGTAACTAGTAGCTAACTCCTTGTTGCCTTTTTATTATAAGAGAATGACAGTTTGCAACGTTCGTGTGGTGTTTCCCAGGTCATGACTGCAGCATTGTGCAGTAGGTTCTATATGTGACAAAGTCAGTTTTGGGAAGCTGTTATGCCTGCTGAGTCCACACAGGGGAGATCTTGACCTGGCTTACAGCTGCAAGTCAGCAGGGCCTGACGCAATACATCAAATAAATATCAGGTTCATATCCTTCCGTCATGACAAAACACCATCCCCAGGCAGGAGCGAAACATTTGTTGATGGCTGAACCGTGAAGGCAACGCTGAACGCGCAGCGCTGAAGCCGTTGAACGCTCGCAAAAACTCAAGAATATCCACCCCACTGCGCTTGTCAAGCACAGCTGTGCCGCACACAGCAACGATTTTCATGAGACTCTGAGCCCAGTCCGACAGGTGCTGCCTGAAAAGTCTCCACCAGCCAGCCTAAGCGCAGAGCAGTAGCCAATGGATTTGTCGGGCCGAGGTCACGTAAAATCCTCCAAAGCTGGCCAATCAGTAGTGTGGGTTCTTTTGCACACCTGTCAGCCAGGCCTTTTCAGAAAGGTATGTGTAAGGGTGTGTATGTTGGAACGGTCTCATGCTTACAGCGTGCTTTTCTGAAACAACGCATAAAGCAGAACTCGTGGACCCGAGACAGAATCTAGGCCATCTGCTTCGAGACACTCTCCACGCCCCAGGAGCGCTTCTTTGGCGCCAAAAACGAGGAGGCCTGAAAAGCGGAAAGTAGACTCCAAGTATTGCAATGGACGCCCACCCGTGAACACAGAACGGCGGGTTGGACTTTATTCAGAGAAACGCGAGGCTGGCGACAGTCCATGTTTGGTGAGACTTGACAACCACAAACTCAGGTAATCTAAACGTATATACGTTGTATAATTTTTCAGTTACTATCACGAGCACCGTGAAAAAAGTGATGTGCGCGAACATAAAGCAGCCGGATGCCAGGCCATGAAAAAGTGGGCGGACGGACAGCAGCTTGGTTCCATGCCGAGACAACCTCGGTGTTTCAGGTGCATCACATGTACATTGACAAACAGCCAAATTGACATGACATGATTCATGTAAACTGACTGCAGAGTAGGTGAAATATGAGGTATTTACCGCCAGGTGTTTTCTAGGTTGTTCCTGTTTGCTGTGTGTTGTTCCAACCGCATACGGTTTCTAGTTGTTAATTCCGTTTTGCGCAGCTCTGATTGCACAAAAATACACAGGCTTCAACTGTGAGGGGGTATGTTCTAAGGGGGTGGTTGTCAAAATTGCAACATTTCCCTCAAGGACCATCTTCTCAATACTCAACAGAACCTGATGTCCTTTTCACCCTTTAGGTCCAATAGTTGCCATGCAAAGGGGCATTTTACACTTGCCACCAGTGTGCCAAAGGTCCGACACTGAGGGGATTCCCTCCCAGCCCACCTAGGCGTGCTGCGTACAAGGATGAATCCTCAGAAAAGGGCAAGGAACCAAAACGACGGCCGTGTTGTCGGATTCAGAAGTCCTGTTGGGAGGGTATCTTCGCCGATGCGTTGTTCCATAGCACGAAAACAGATTGAATCACTGCGTCGCTGCAGTGTTTATCATCTACTGCAACAATTTTGTTTGCTGAGTGGCTGGTTCGCTGATTGATTTGATTTGATTTGATTGATTCAATGAATTGACTGATTGACTTGATTTGATTTGATTGAATTGATTGGTTAGTAGATTTGGTTGATTGATTTGGTTTGATTTGATTTGATTTGATTGATTGATTGATTGGTCGGTTGGTTTGATTTGATTGATTGATTGATTGATTGATTGGTTGGTTGGTTGGTTGGTCGCTTGCTTGCTTGCTTGCTTGCTTGATTTGATTTGATTTGATTTATTTTTAATTGATTTGATTTGATTTGATTGGTTGGTTGGTGGCTTGATTGATTGATTGATTGATTGATAGATTGATTGATTGATTGATTGATTGATTGCCTGATTGAGTGAGTGATTCATGTTTGTCATATTTACTCACGTGTTTTTATATTTAGTTTTTCTTTGCATGCATGATCATTGACAAATCTCATGGATTGACCACAACAAGGCAAGTCGGACTTCGACGGTCATGGAATGACCTCCTCAGGTTCGGCTGCAGTGGATGGCTAAAGTTTCAACTCCTTTGATCTTTAAGACTACCGGGTGCCTGAATGTTTGGCCATCTTTGAGGCCAAAAGCTCGGAGGTCGTTGTTTGGTTCGAAAGTGGAGGTTCATAGATTAAAGGAGTGCAACTGTACAACACCCAGGCTGCTCATGTTGTGTAATTGCTGGCTGGTGAAGCGCGAAGCGCGGCATGTGTTTGTTTGTGTCGCCTTGTTTGTTTGCGAAGCTCTTTAGACACTGCGGGGGGGCTGTTTGTTTAAAAGAGTAAGTAACTTTACACCAGTCAGCAGTGACGAGTCTAGGACACACAGCAAGATGTTTGCCATGAAAGGCACAAACTGCAAAACAAATGATCTTTCGGGAACCTGAAAGGGACATGTTCTGTGCTTCACCAAGGACAATGTAGTCTTTGGACTTGACGGTCTAGATTCTAGGGTTTATGTTTTCTAGACCTCGGGATGCTGTTCATCACCGGACCGGCTGTTCATCCGCTGAGTTTTCCCGAAGTTCGATCGCCCTTCCCTGAACATGTCCGAACGTTCTGCTGCCCTCCATGTTTGTGTGGTGTTTTTTGTTTCACAGTATTCTTTGCGTGTGGGCCGTGTGGGATTTTCAACTTGTTTCCCAGTTTTTCCCAGTGGCGGATCCTCAGAAAGCTAATAGCAAGAAGCTACTAGGTGGAGGCCATCGCTATACTAGGTGACAGTCATTGCTATTAGGTTGGAGGCCATCGCTATACTAGGTGGAGTCCATCGCTATTAGGTTGGAGGCCGTCGCATATACTAGGTGACAGCCATTGCTATTAGGTTGGAGGCCATGGCTATTAGGTTGGAGGCCGTCGCTAGTAGGTTGGAGGCCATCGCTAGTAGGTTGGAGGCACTTGCTATACTAGGTGGAGGCCATCGCTATTAGGTTGGAGGCCATCGCTAGAAGGTTGATGGTATCCACCTAGTATATCGCTATTAGGTTGGAGGCCATCGCTATAGTAGGTTGATGGCCTCCACCTAGTATATTGCAATTAGGTGGCGGCCATCGCTAGTAGGTTGATAGCCTCCACCCAGTATATCGCTTTCAGGTGGGGGCCATTGCTAGTAGGTTGATGGCCTCCACCTAGTATATTGCTATTAGGTGGAG